GGCGCGTCGCTTAAGAGGGCAATAATGGCCCTGCCTGGCGGCGGCGTCAATATCGTCGGCTAATTAGCAGACAGCCTCTTCGCACCCACCCCCGCCTCGCCGATTGTACCCCGAAGAGAGAGAGGAAAGTGAGCGGCGGGGAAAAAAAACGAAAAATAATAATAGAGGGGTCGGTTGGTGGAGGGAATCAGCGTGCGGAGCTCCGCAGCGCAATACTGACAGCGCCCGGCGGTCGGTCCATGACTGCGTGACGATGGGCTGCCATATTGGCGGGCGAGCGTTTTAATATCGCGCCGTAAACACCTCAGATCGGTAATATAACGCGGGTAATCCCGGGCGCGCGCGCATAAACAAAGTGTCAAAGGTTCGTTTCAATTTAAAAGGCGCGCCGCGCGCTTTTCGCGCGCTGTTTGCGGCGTGTGTTTTTTATCGGGCCAATCGCTGGCCGTCGTTTAGCTCGCCCAGGTGACAACTGTGATGGCGCGGCACGTGGCGCCAGTATGTACGGATTTATATTGAGTGCCCGGCATTGTGTATCTCACCCCCTCTATTATACGACTCTCTATGTGTTGGCGATTTTTTGTGTGTGTCTGTTTCGTTTTGTGCCGCTGGTCAGCAGCGCGGCGCGCGCCAAGTCGTTTGAGAAAGAAATGACGTCCCGTAAATGATGCGCTGCCAATGGCTTCTTCATTATCGGACGCTTCTTCTAATAAGTGGAGCGGCTCCGACCGCAAAAAGCAGTGGCGCCGGCCCGGCGGCCGTTTAGAGCTTCCTTCTGTCGTTTATTTCAGTATTATTTTTTGTGTGTTAACGTTCGTTGTCGATTTACGCGACACGTGGTATTAACTGGACGCGACTGATGAGGGCCGCGTTATTGGTCGCTGAATGGTCAGCGCGAGAGCCGTGGCGCTGACCGCGGGGACTGAGCGCTTATGGCTGTTGAATAACGAGCAGTCGTTGGCCGTTATTGAAGGAGCATAGTAGTACTGTCGTGTCGGCAGTTGATGATGAAGGCGACAGTCGACGATGATTCGCATTCGATAACTCTAACAGATACCAAGCGAGCGGCGCGGTCGACTTGTGCCCCACGTACCCCTTCTCTCCAGGTCCTGCTCTCTCCCGCCGCCGGCTCGCCGTCACCGGCTCCAGTCGCAGTTCGCGCGCTCGCCGAGGGGGGGCGCTGGCGGTCCGGCCCCGCGTGGTGGCGCTGTCGCGTGGAGTGGAGACTGCAGGCGCTGCAGGCCCGCGGCCACTCGCCACCTCGACGTTTGAACAAGACAACTTAACAATGAAAACCATAAAGCACAATTGTTAAGACAAGCCTATGCTGGGGTCAGAAAACTCTTTCGTGCACTGCATTGTCGTCCCCCCCCCC